CCCCCACAAAGCAGGAGCAGCCGGCGGAAGGACAGAGCAAAGCAGGGCAGATCCGAAAATTCTGCTGGGGGGCAAGATTTCTAAGCTCAAATCTGGTTTTTGAACAAGAAAAGGAAGGCAAAACCAAGCTTTTCTTACCGGTTTCTCAAAGGAAGGCTGTCGGCTTGCTGGGTTCTTTTCTTCTTTTTTTTTTTGTTCGGGCTGCAGCATGGTCAAGAAGAGCAGAAGGACGTGAAATGGCTGGGGGAAGAAAAAGAAGGAAAAAATAGTGGATCCTTATCCAATTATTTTCCCTCTTTAAGTCCCTCAAGTTTGGATATTTTGGCTATTAAGCCTAAAACAATATTTCCTCTCATAACAGTCCTTAACTTAAATGATAAATTTCCCAAAAATTTGGGATATTACATTCACCCCTCCTAAAAAGGAGTTTTGTCCCCAAAACTCGAATCTAGGGTTGTCTCAAGTGGTGAATGGCTTCACACAATCCAAGGCAAAACAAATGCCTCACCAACTCTTATAAACAGAACATGGCCTACTACGCTTCCGCTGCGCCACTCTGATATCAAACCACAACTAATCCTAAAAGCAGAACATTACTACTTATTCGAATTTACCATGAAACAAGCTACTAGAGGCTAGGGTGATGTGGGAAGCACACGGAATAAAAAAAATAAATCCTGCCAAAGCCACAAAAGAACAATTGTGGGGTTACGCTACGAACCCAACACAAGATGAGTTGGCAAAGAATTGCATGGATTTAAAGATGAGTACAACAAAACTTTGAAATCTATCAAAGACGGATAAGCATCCAATGGATATATGGATCATGAATGAATGAACGAGTGCATGGATGCCTTATACATTCTGCCACAAAACAAGGTTAACCAGGACCAAAATCATGTTTAACAAAGCAACTGGGATCAAGAAATGGACTTTAGCAATTAACAAGAGTTAAAAGCTGGACCCATTAAAAGACATGTAAGAATCTCAAGAATTGCAACAAAATAAAATCAATGGAAAATATGAATGCTTGAAAGATTACTAGAACATAAGAGTGCAAGGTAGAATGCCTCAAAAATTCCAACAACAAAACAGCATTCACCAAGAATCAAGATCAATTTAACCAAGCAGTCAAAATTGAGAGATAAGAGTTAACCATGAAACAAGCAATAGAATTCAAGGATTAGGCCCACAAAAAGAGATTTCAATAATGACAAACAGAACACGGATTCAAGAGCAAATATAATCAGGATGTCAAGATCTAGCACCTCAAGTACTAGAATTAATTAACAGAACAAATCAATGGTTGGGATCAAGATGCTTAAAAGATTCATGTCTTCTAGTTAAAGGCCAAACAAGAATCTAAGCAGTCAAATAAAAGAACAATTTCAGTTGAAACAAAACTCTAAGACATCAAGTACTTTAAAGACTACCCCTTCACCTCGTAGCTCATGGAGGCTAAGCAGATTTACAATCAAGTCATCCTAGAGTCAAGTCAAAGCTAAGACATCAAGAATACAGAGATTAACACTTGCAAGAGACAAGAATGAGGATGCCTCATATAGGTATTTCTAATAATTATCACCCTTCCTAAAGAGGTGTCCATATGAACAAAAAATCAAAAATCAAGAAGATCAATAGGTATACCAAAATAAGAACTAGCAGAATATGCAGGATTTGAGCAAGAGCAGTATACAGAATTTAAGCAAGAGCAAGGGCCGAGACAAGAATCGTTTTCAAGGACAATTCAAAATAAATTCCAAGAACAGTGCAAGAATTAATTTCAGACAAGTATCAAGAAAATGAGGATTTCAATAATCATTATCCATTTCCTTTGGATTTCAGTTTCAAGAACAAGTACAAAGCAATATCAAGAAAGATTCAAGACGAATTTTAGGAGTTTCAAGCAATTTCAGGTATCAAGAATGTAAAGATTAGCAACAAGAGAGAGTTTAACTTTATGACAGCTTGCCAATCTTCACAAAAACATGGTAATTTCAATTGAATTGATCACTATTCTTGATTAACCAATATAAAAAAAATGAGCCACATGAAAAGACCATGGAGCTCCAAATGGAAAAAGTGAAATTTCACTATAAGACTTTCAGAAGATAAGGAGCAACGGAATTACCAAGCTATCCAGCTCCTAAAACGCATCTAGAAAACACACAACATTTGCTAAAATAGCCTTGAATCTCTTACAAAGTAGAGGGTTGCCCATCTTCCACTGGTCATGTGACAAACAGAACAATTTCTCAACGGTTTAATACCCTTTTTGATCCCTCTACTATAGGAAAAAGCCCTTTTTTGATCCCTGTACTGAAAAAATCCCCTTTTTAGTCCTTACTATTCACAAATACGGCCCCTTTTTAGTCCTTCCGTTAAATTTTGACTGATGTGGCAGGTTAATTAACGAAAACACTCATTCCTTTTTTTTACTAAATTACGTGAAAAATCCACGTGGTAAAAATTGATGACATGTTAAATTTTTTACCTTTAATTACTGATATACCCTCACCTTTTTCCCCAGTTTCTCCTTCCTCCAGCCTTTTTTTTTTTTCTTTTTTTACTTTTACCACCAAGCGAACCCAAGAGCTTGGGTTCGTGAAGGGAACCCAGCTCGCAGGTTCGCGACGAACCCAAGTCTTGGGTTCGCAACGTCCGTGCAATAGCCTTTCACCTAATTGCAGAATCGAGGTGTTGAGTGCTGAAATTGCCCTCAATTCTCATTCAGGTGAATTTGAAGATAGCACGCATTACACAAGAAATTTGCCTTTAAGCAGTAAAGTTTGTTCCTTTAAGCTATACCCATGATTTGCTTCAGGGTGTTGTTTCAGTTTTTCCTGCTTTTAATTTTCACTCTTTGATGGTGGGCTAAGAGATGACGGATCTTGAAGATTGAGTTCATCAAACTTCTTTGGAGTACAATGGGGTTGAAATTCACTCTTCTGCTGTTGAAGATTTGCTTGACTGTCGGTGCTTTGTCCATTGACGGAACATCAGGTAATGGTGTTTGATATGAAGTTCTAAACTTGTTTTTTTACATTCAGTTCATTTGATCCATGCGTCTCTCCTCATAACTTTGCCTTGTATTTTCATGCAATTTGAACTTGAACTGAAATTCAAAGATCTAGGTCACTAGAAATATTTGTTCCAAAATCAACCAGTACAGAATTTTGTGGACCATAACTTCAATTTCATGTAGGAGAAACAATGGGTTTGTTGAGTAATTAGTATTCTTGAGAATCTGCATTTCTTGATCACCTAATATCCTTCTTGAAAATCTCTATGTTTCCATTGCTGAACTGAAGTTCGTGTCTGGAATTCTAGGATTTGATCTTGTGTAATGCGTGCTATCTTCAGATTTCCAGATAGTCTACCTCATTTCTTGTTGATCTGTTGTTTTTGCTTACTTACCCCACTGGCGATCAACAAGGAGGAATATCTCCGGCTAACCTGAGGTTATTTATGTAAATCTAGAACTTGCATCGACTTCGTTTGTTTGTAGCTAAATACCTTTGAGTTTTGACCATACCCCTGCCATGCAATTCCCTTTTTATTATAAGAGTTTGTCCATGAAATTATTTTTCACAAATGAGGACAAATCGGCTTCTATTGGATCCCTTGTCTGCAATTCCGGCATCTAAATTTCTTACTCTCAGTTTCGGTTTCTCTGCAAAATTTGGTAGTAAAAGTCAACAACCTAACCAATTATGAAGCAATTATTAAATCATCAAACCTAATCATTTAATCAAGGAATTGGGATGATAATGTTATCTGAAATGAGGGTTGTTATGTTCTGTTGTTTTGTAATTTTTCAGCCGTTTGTCTCCTCTCTTCGGTCAAATATCCACACCGTCTTGTTCCACCAATTTGATCTATCTCTACTAGGAAAGCACTAGAGATTTCACGGACGTCGCGAACTCGCAAGCTGGGTTCGTCACGAACCCAGGCTCTTGGGTTTGCTTGGAGGTAAAAGAAAAAAAAGAAAAAAAAAAAAAGCTGGAGGAAGGAGAAGCCGGCGAAGAAGATAAGGGTATATTAGTAATTAAAAGTAAACAAATTTAACTTGTCATCAATTTTTGCCATGTGGATTTTTCACGTAATTTAATAAAAAAAAGGAATGAAAGTTTCTGTTAATTAACCTATCACATCAGTTAAAATTTAACGGAAGGACTAAAAATGGGTCAGATTTATGAACAATAAAGATCAAAAAGGGGATTTTTTGGGTATAAGGACCAAAAAAGGGCTTTTTCCTATAGTAGAGGGACCAAAAAGGGTATTAAACCTTTCTCAACCAACTATGCTGTAAAAACCAACAGGATCAATAATGAAGGATCTCTACAACTCCTCAGATTTTCCAATGGTGGCAAAAGAGCATACAAAAATTATGTTCAAGTAACAAGTCTAACAAATGCAAACTATCAAAAAATGACCAAGTTTCAAAAACAAGGTCTTAAGAACATGGCGGACAAGATTAATTTCATGAATCTACACAGGGTATGAAGGTGGGAAACAAGAACAATCAGATCACCATCTCATCAAAATGGATTAGAAAGTTCAAGCAACATGAATCAGAACTGTCCCTTATATAACCCCATCACTCATCTTACCACGGTTCTAAAATCCATTGCCTAACCAAGTTCCAAACAAATCCTAAGTATTCAATTAAACCTAGGTATTTAATTAAACTTAATCTCAATGCCACTCAATCTGGAGGTGCTTAATTTAATCTTAAGCTCTTAATTTAAACTTCTGCTTTGATACCACAAAATCTCCATATATCTAATTTAACCTAAACTCTGATACCACAAAATCTGTCACGCCCCAGAACCCAAATCTGGGAACGTGGTAGACGCCGTGCACTCGTGAGAGTGTTCCACAAATGCACAAGGCTCGGAACTTATCATATCATAATCTGATACCACAAAATCTGAAGATAATATTTTAAAATTTTCTCTAATATCATAAAATCTCCAAATACAGTCTAACTTACAAGATCATGATCTACATCTAAAATCCATATTCAATTTACAAAATGGCTAGCCTTCTAACTCATCGCTTCCCGTGGTTTCCCCGTCCTCGATTTCACTTCCTGAAATGGTGAACAAGGAAAATTATGAGATAAACTCAGTAAGTAAATATGGATAGCCCTTAATTAAACTTATAACATGCCAACAAGTGTAATCACGAAAAACGGATACAGTATGGGAATGAAATAGACGTCTCCTCTATAGGTCACGGCCAGTGTTATAAACCTCCCACTGGCAGACACACGATTTACTAGCGTATAATCCCCACTAGTAGGGTCACTCAAACGAACCAGCTCTATCGCTAACATGTCGACATGTGCTAGTGTATAATCCCCACTAACAGGGTCACTAATAACATGACCACATTGGAGACAAAACAGGCAGAAGTTAACGGAAAAATCATAATTCACCAATCACTTTCAAATCATCAGGACAATCAATTAAATTTCAAGTAAGCATGCTCAATTTAATGAAAAACATAAAAATTTC